TTGTTTAAAGTAATAACTTAAAAAGGTAGAATAATGTTATGAAAACTCACAAGACAAAACTTTAAAGCATTGTTTATACTCTATCCTATGGCATATGCAGTAATTTAATAATTGTATAAATTACAGCCTAGGCCCTATTTCATTATTCTAGGCCACAAATTCTGCATATTATTAACACACGATGAAAACATAGCACATATGGCAAATATCATAATTTCCCAGGAATAGGAAATAAAGTAAAAAGCTGGATGATATAAAATGTGCACCAAAACATTTCTGATGAAATAGATTGAATTTCCCAAGATGAAGTAAATCAAAAAGGAAGAAAACAAAGTGCATTTCTTTTTTGAGCTGATAGTGTGGCATATCCTTGCTCATGCATGAAGTATAAAAGTATCATTATAATTTATGGATTCTGAAAAACAGTTGTACATGTGCTCAGTCCAACAATGGCACACACCACAAACCGTTTGATTCAGAGAATGGCTACTGCAGTATGGGCATGAGTGAAATGGGTGCAGAGGCAAAGTACAAACTATATCTAACATCCGTGTCCATAATATCACCAGGGTCCATGATATCGCCACCTTGAGAAATAGTGTGCTTAAAGATATCTTTACTGCAACATACTTTTGGTATGCACTCCTGCACACCTCAAATGTACATACCTAGGGTATGTTGCAATAAAATATCTTTAAGCACACTTTTTCTCAAGATGGCAATATTATGGACTATGGTGATATTATGGACACAGATGTTACATGTAGTTTTGTACCCAAGTGCAGTGATTGGTAAAAGGATTCTTACACCATGATGTCAATAATGTAATAGGGCCCAGACATGCAACCATATACAAACAAGTAAATAATATTATTTACATACATGTTGAAGTATGAAAACATGGCCAGAAATGAGTGTTTTTAGTCCAGTAATTTGCTTAAAAAAAGGTATGATTTTATACCAATGAAAAGTTACCTGGAGGAGAAAAATCTACAATTAAAATGAACAATAATTATTACTAGGTGTACATTTTCAGATGTCAATTCTATGAACATTTAACATCCGTGTCCATAATATCACCATAGTCCATAATATCGCCACCTTGAGAAATAGTGTGCTTAAAGATATTTTTTACTGCAACATACCCTAGGTGGAACCCCTAGGTATGTACATTTGAGGTGTGCAGGACTGCATACCAAAAGTATGCTGCAGTAAAAATATCTTAAAGCACACTATTTCTCAAGGTGGCGATATTATGGACTATGGTGATATTATGGACACGGATGTTACATGTATGTAGGTACCTACCTGATTTTTGCTTTTTATTTAAGCTTTCCGATATGTTGGTACATGTATATAATAATTACATTTCTGGCCATGCAGGACTTCTACATACAAGTCCACAGTTAGAACCCACAGCAATTTAGCAAATAACATGACAGGTTACTGCAATGATCATATAGTATATGATAAATCATAGCCCATCACCTAATGTTGTTTAGTGCATCAACTTAAAACTTGAATAGCATTTCACCAAAGTGAGTTGTGAGTTTAAGGACTTCTTTCCAACAAGCCCTTTTTCATGTCAAAGCCGTATTAGTAATGTGTGTTAGGCAGGTAAGTTAGTTCTTCCTTGTTACCCCAGAGTGAACTGAGTGAGTTAGTTGGTTGGTAGGTTGGTTGGTTAGCGCCCACTGCACTCGGAGGTTGTTAGGCCCACTTCACCCAAAGGATCGCCACCTTTGTCGGTGACCCTCCAGGGCTGTTCTCTTCTGTCGACGCTCTATCATGTCCCCCGCTCTCTCTATCCGAGTGCGCGAGACCAGACGATTGGTTTCTTGTCGACTCTCTTAGAGAGGTCCCTTCAGAGGCCCTCCGAGATCGGTTTCCATGTCCCTCCT